GTGTAATTTTTTTTTACTTTATTAATTTAGTTTATTCATTGTATTGAACATGAACCTAGAATCACAAATACCGAAAACATAACAAAATAAGTTCACTATTTGAGGAAGAAAAAGTTACTCCATTTAATATACTATAGTGTAATTTTTTACACTAGCAGTTAGAGTATACATAGGTCGGGTTCGTTCGAGTTTTTCAATTACCAAACCAAACCAGTTATGTCGGATTATTAAATCTAAAGACCAAACCAAACCAATAAAAGTCGAATTTTTTAATCTCGGTTTTTTGGATTTTTTCGGGTTTTTATTCAAAAGTCTTCATAGCACAAAACACAGAATTTGTGTTCCAATTATTTCTTTAATCCTAGTAAGACATAACTTTATAAGATGTTTTCAAGAAACTAACATAAAATATGAGATGAGTCATGGCATTGTACTAAAATTTTTAACAATAAATATAATAAAATCGCATAAAATAAATATTATTAATAAGTCATAATGAAAATAAACATAATCTTAAATTACTAAGTTGCTAAAATAAGTACGACTAATAATTACTATTATTTACATGAATAAATATTAAAAAAGAAAAGTTGAGCATTTTATCTAAACCATGAAAAAACTAAAAAAAATAAATATTCAACACTACTGTCATTCCTAGTACAATTGAATTGAATGTATTTTATTAGCATTAATATTGATTAGATTTTGGTTTGGAATTTATTTGAGTTAGTAACATTTATGGACTATAAAACTTATTGGAGCATTCAAAAATTATAAGTCAAATCTTGAAATAATACATTAAAAGACAAATTATGAAAAAGTTTAAGAAATATTTATAAATTACAATAAAATAAATATTTTAATGTATTGAATATATTTAAAACTTCTATACATGTACTATCGGGTTGATTTGGTTTCAGTTTGACTTTTTTTTAGTTAAAACCAAACCAATTATGGTAGGATTTTTTCCCCAACACCAAACCAATTCAAACTAAACCATATGTGGGTTTTTTTTCTCGATTTGACTCGAATTATCAGTTTGGTGCGATTTGTCTGATTTTCTTTGTACACTCCTACTAGCAGTGTTATTTAATCTGTTATAGTATGTTGAATCTCTTAGTCTTTTGGTTATAGCAGTTACTATAATTATATTTTAGGCGGATGTAATAGTGTAGAACTTCTTTTACACTATTAATATTGTATAGAAGTAAACTCATAAAACATCTGTTTTTTTCTTCTTTTTCTTCTTCTTTCTCGTGGGTCGTGGGTTGAAGAAGTTTATATGGAGTCTTTAGTAACTGACTTTCGGTTTCTCTCATCTCAAAAATACTCTGTTTTCAGTATTATTTTTTTCTGTTTAATGAACCGAAAAAAGAAAGAAAAAAGGAAAACCAAAAGACTTCCAATCAACATAAGCTCAAAGTGCTTCCTTTAGTTTCTTGCAAAAACTTTCAGTTAGTAGTAATTGTTTTAATCTGTCTTTTTGTGTCTAAAGTCTTTAACACGTGACCAAGATATGCTAATGTTTCTCTTCTTTCTCAAAATATTTCGATCTTGAAGTAAAGTAAGTTGCATTTTTCAATTTTCTTTCTTTTTATTCCACTTGTATTTCACAAAACACCACTCTTTCATGAAGTGTAAAACTGAATAGTAAAAAGAAAGAAACAAGTTGTAGAGCTCTATTATAAATATCTCAACTCAAACTGCTCAACCACTCATCATCTCAACTCTAATAATATTCTCTGTTTTAGTCTTTGATCACTTCATATCTCATCAAAATATGAAAATGGAGAACCCCATTTTTTCTCTTCTTATTTCACTTCTCTCCATTTTCTTGACTGAAGCCATAGCTGATGTTGTGACATTAAATGTTCTAAATTTGGGTGCAAAACCAGATGGACAAACTGACTCAACAAGGGCTTTGTTAACTGCTTGGGCAGCAGCTTGTGGCTCTTTAAAACCAGCCACTATATTTGTCCCACAAGGAAAGTATTTGGTTAAACAAGCACATTTTAAAGGAAAATGCAAGAATAGAGCCATAACATTCCAAATTGATGGCACACTTATTGCACCCTCTGATTATAATGTGATTGGAAATTCCAAAAATTGGATTATGTTTCAAGGTGTTGATGGAGTTTCTATTCATGGTGGGATTCTTGATGGCCAAGGAACTACTTTGTGGATTTGCAAAGCCTCCGGCAAGAACTGCCCGAGCGGTGCTACTGTAAGTCATAAAATTTTTATGCTATCAGTGTATTTTAACTTGTTGAAGGGAGTCTTGGCGTAACTTGCCGTCATTTGACCAGGAAGTCACGGGTTCAAGCCGTGAAAACAACCTCTTGTAGAAATATAGGGTAAGATTGCGTACAATAGACCCTTGTCGTCCGGCCTTTCCCCGGGCCCCGTGCATCGCGAGAGCTTAGTACACCGGGCTGCCCTTTTTAGTGTACTTTAACTTGTTGTAATTATATGTAGTTAAACTTTTGTATAATTAAGTGTTTTACTTGTACACATTGTTAAAAATTTCATTAATGACTTGGTGTGGTCAATAGAAGGTTAATTATTCTGGTCACATTGGGAAAACAAATCCAAAACTTGTTCATTTCTCGGAATTAGCAATTTTCTAGATGAGTGTAACTTTTCCTTTAAATAAGGATATACAGCTACTTTATGTAAGTAACTGTCCAAGTATTTTCAACCCTGGTATTATGGTTTATTTAATTTTTTCAAATGTAGGATTAAATTCTCTTGTGATAATAAGGAGTTTTGACCTTAGACTATAAGAATTTTAAATGCTGCTTTTGAACTGAAATCAATAACCCAATTTCTTGCTTCATAATGTTCAAATGCTGACTTAAATTCTTGTTATTGCAGAGTCTGGGATTTTCCAACTCAGATAATATAGCAATAACAGGACTAACTTCATTGAACAGCCAAATGTTTCACATTGTCTTCAATGGGTGCAAAAATGTGAAGTTGCAGGCTGTCAAAGTTTTTGCCTCTGGCAAAAGCCCGAATACTGATGGTATTCACGTTCAATTATCGTCTGACATCTCGATCTTGAACTCGAAAATCAGTACCGGAGATGATTGCATCTCCATTGGTCCTGGAACTACTAACTTGTGGATCCAAAACATGGCTTGTGGCCCTGGCCATGGAATCAGGTAATAATAATTAAGTAATAAGTGGGATCAGTAACTTGGAAAATATTAAAGAGGGCCTTGGTGTAACTGGTAAAGTTGTTGCCATATGACCAAGAGGTCACGGGTTCGGGCTATGGAAACAGCCTTTTGCAGAAAAGCAGGACTGCATACAATAGACCCTTGTGGTCAGATCCTTTCCCGGACTCCACGTATAGCGGGAGCTTAGTGCACCGAGTTGCCATTTAGTAACTTGAAAAATAAGGCAGGTGTATTATAACATATGAAAGCCGACCCCAACTTGTTTGGGACCGGGGCGTAGTGGTTGTTGTTAGATAAAATATATTGATAGTGTAAAAATATTGACTTTATCGGTGAATAAGTTAAATCCCTAATACAATAATATGGTGGTGAATTTTGTTGCAGCATTGGGAGTTTAGGCAAGGATTTTCAAGAAGCAGGGGTGCAAAACGTGACAGTCAAATCAATTATATTTAAGAACACACAAAATGGTGTTAGGATCAAAACATCGGGCAGACCAAGTACTGGCTTTGTAAAGAATGTTCTTTTCCAACATGCTACAATGGTTAACGTTCAAAATCCAATTGTTATTGATCAGAATTATTGTCCATATAACAAAAATTGTCCTGGCCAGGTATGAATTTTTATTTAACCATTAAAGTTAGCGCTACATTCGCCAGATATTTCCTGATTTTCTTGTTCAATAGGTGTCAGGTGTGACAATTAGTGATGTTACATATCAAGATATACATGGAAGTTCAGCAATGCGAGTCGCGATGTAATTTGATTGCAGTAAAAGAAATCCATGCCGAGGAATAAAATTGGAAGATGTACATCTCACTTATAAGAATCAACCAGCTGCTCAAGCTTCTTGTGCTAATGCTGCAGGAACAACTTCTGGCATAATTCAGCCAACTAGTTGTTTATAAGGGAAAAACAAAGAAAAGGGGTTCTTTCCCTTTTTTATTTTCATTTTTTAGTATATTTAGCTCTTAATTTAGACAAGAGAGCAAGTGGTTTAATTTAATTGCTCAGACTAAGTGCTTACTTGAGCCTGTGGTGTGACTGGAATCGCCTGGCCTAGCATNTGTGACTGGAATCGCCTGGCTTAGCAATGCTAATTAAAGACAGAAATTGTTATCCCCATTATTCAATGTAATAGAATATCTTTCTCCTTTGCTCCATTAGAAGTGTCAATTAAATGCTTTAATTGTCACAGCTAACAAACTAAAATGTTCAATATTAATGTCTGAACTTTCTATAGGTTCCACTAATCTTATTAGTTCTGTAAAAGCATGTAGTTCTGTCTGCTCAAGGCTATTTTCAGCGACTGGCACCGTCGGATCACTAAGGCCAACTTACATCCATGCTCGACGGGTGGATCTTGCAGCTAAGCTCCCTTCTGCCTTTGCACTCTTGGGCCAATCTTAGTCCGGCCCGAGGAAAACTTTGCAAGCCTCGGTTACCTTTTGGGAGGCCTATACCCCATATAAACTGTCTACCTGAGACTGTCCCTTGGCCCATAGGTCCTAACACAAGGTTAGAATTCTAGCACTTCCTGAGTAGTATCTCACTGATGGCTCGGGCTCCCGGAAGGAGGCCGTATGAGGTGATAATCTCATATACGGTTCTGTAGAGTGGCAGTAAAGATGACTTAGCCGTCAACTTTCCACTATCACCCCAGAAAAACCAAACTCCGCCTTGCATAAAGTTGCAAGAGTACGATTAACCTATGGATTTGAAATCACTGCTTATATACCTGGTATTGGCCATAATGTACAAGAACATTCTGTAGTCTTAGTAAGAGGGAGAAGTGTTAAGGATTTACTCGGTGTGAGATATCACACTCTCAGAAATTGCCTATAATATTTCAAACTAAATAAATTCAGCATGAGTCTTTTGTGAACTCCTTTTAGAAACTGCAAATGCAATCAATAAGGCTTTCCAATATTGTAGAATATCTACAGATTCATAGCTAGGACAATTGCAACAAAAGCTATCAGCATACAGAATCAAAATATGGCTTTCATACTTTAGTTTGGTCTGCTCCTGCTTTATCTTCTGATTAACCAGATAAACTATAGCACTAATCATATAGGCTTGAAATCTCACTTGCTGAGGGTATTTTTCGTACCAAGTCCTTTCGACCCTGAGAAATTGACCTCAGTGTGTCATACACTTCCAACATTGTTGGCCTTTTATTAGGAAAGAACTTCACACAGTTACAAGCTAATTCAAGAAACTGGAGGATTAAATTGTCGACTCCTTTTCCAAGCAAATGTCTATCTGCATCAAGTAGACAAGGCGAGTGATCAAATAGATTTCTCGAGCTGGTCAATTCATATGGTTCCTTCCCAGTTACCAGCTCAAGAAGCACAACACCAAAGCAGTAGATGTCTTGCTTGTAAGAACCTAAACCTGAATATTCAGCTACTGGAAAAAGACTCCAACTTAGTGCAGTGTCATTCTTACTCCAAAACTTGGCTTCCCAAAAATTGGATATTTTAGGTTCAAAATTTTGATCTAGCAATATACACCGTGTGCTTATGCTCCCGTGTGTAATGTGTAATTCGTACCCATGATGAAGCCAAGCCAGGCCTTTTGCTACCCCAAGCGCAATCTTAGCCCTCAAATGGAAGTCCAAAATCTTGGCCTTATCTTCGGTTGAGTGCAACCATTCATGAAGATTTCCATTAGACATGTATTTGTAAACAAGAAATCTTTTTTCTTTTTCAGCACAGAAACCTATAAGAGGCAATAGGTTCCGATGTCTCAGGCCACCGAGAGTTGTTATCTCAGAGACAAACTCGTCCTCCAAATTCTCCCATTCATTGAGCTTCTTGATGGCAAGTGTCCAGTCATTTGGTAGAATTGCTTTGTACACTTTGCCCAACATTCCATTTCCTATTAAATAGTTTTCACTAAAACCAGAAGTTGCTTTTTCCAGCTCCTCAAAACTCATTCTAGTGACAAACTTCTCCAGCCTTAATATCTGTAAAGCAGCCTGTTAAATCATTGGAACATACAGAATAGAACAACAACAACAACCCAGTATAATCTCACAAGTGGGGTCTGGGAGGGTAGTGTGTACGCATACCTTACCCCCACAGAATAGAACAAAACATAGAAACACTTACTGTTATCAAATTTGTTCATTGAATAAAGAACAGCAGAAAATGTAAAGTGGCAGTCTATACGCGACGCTAGCAAAAAAATGGAACTTAACTAATGCAGGGGAAATATTGGAAATGTACGTAGCAGGATCTTTACCTTCTGGTTGCTGCGTAAGTCCTCTTCATCTGGCGAATCGCTTCCTGAAGTTAAATGTTCCTTTGCCCTCAGTTTCCATTTGTTGAATGAGACTATCTTGTTGATTACCTTGCTTGGAAATTGAAATAAGCGAAGGACTAAAGCCCACGTAAAGAAAAGTACCCAACCAACCACAAACGCTTTAATGAACGAAGCATGATCGATATGTTTCCATATCCAAGAATTCTCACATCCTTTCAAAGGCTTCCCACAAAGCTCAGGATTGTTTGCAAAACTCTCAGCTGTGATTTGTTCACTAAGAAACGATGGCACTGCCCCAGTCAAGTAATTGTTGGCTACACTGAATGTCCGAAGGCGAAGTAAAGAGCCTATTCTACTTGGAATTTCACCTTCTAGATTATTATTGTCCAACCTCAGATCGTTAAGATGAGCACAATTAGCTATATCAGGTGGTATATTGCCAGAAAATGTGTTATTTGATAGATCAAGTATTACCACATAATCAAGTATCACTGAAATATCAGAAGGGATAGTTCCATACAACTTGTTGCCTGAAAGATCTAAAGCAGTCAAGCTTGTGCAATTTTGAATGCCACGTGGAAATTCACCAATTAATCCCATTTTTGGAAGCATAATGCTCAGTACCTTAGTCTCATCAGGATGCCAACATTCAATTCCTATAAAAAGGCAGATGAAACCTTCAGTAGAATTGCTGAAATCCCAAGAGTCCAAAGAATTGAAAGGGTCTTGTAATGAATCTTTTATTGATTTCAAGCAATGAATATCAGTATCTGTAGCACTGCAGACAGAAATTAAGGCCAATAATGTCAATACAAAGCCAAGAATATTGCTGACAAGAAAGAAAGATCTTGTTCTGAAATTTGAAATCTCCATAAATTTGAAAGACTTCCTGCTAAATCTTGAACGGAAAAGGGAATATTAGCACTGAAAACCTCTCTGGAGAATGATTAATACTTCAAATTTTATACTTAATGATGCAATGGGGTCAAACTCTTCAGATCAAGCACTCAACTTCGTTGTAGTTTACTGAAGCAACAAAAGTGTACAATTTTGGTCTTTACAACTACTATTTATTAATGATTCTTGACTTCATAGTTTGACGTTTTCAGAGCAAAGTTTCAATCATGTGGAAATTGGGATAAGTGAATATGGAAATGGCACTGTTGGGTTTGGGAATTATAAAGGGCAAATTATATATTTGGTCGATCAGTCAAAAATAATTATATCTGATAGCTAAATTTATAAAAATATATACTGATTGTGTATAAATTTTGTATATTATATACTAATATACAAAAACATGCATCATTTTGCCGGCTATTATTTTTTACGTGTAATTTTACCTTTTTTACACAAATAACCAGCTATATTCATTATTTACTTTTTCTCGCCAGTATACATGGATTATACATATTTATACATATATATACATATATTATATATTTATCGTCTATTTTAAGTGATTGAGTGGACGACTATTTAGGTTAATTCTTCTAAATATTATGCCACCCAAATTTGACTCCACTCGCATCAAATAGTATTTGTAAGCGTAAAAATTACACGGGGTGCCCTATTTAGTCGCCCCCATTTAATCTGTACCCATTTTTTAATTTTTTTTTAATCTAGTACCCAAATTTTAGATAACTTCAGGTATTTTTCTCCTCCTCCTCCTCCTCCTCCTCCTCCTCCTCCTCCTCCTCCTCCTCCTCCTCCTCCTCCTCCTCCTCCTCCTCCTCCTCCTCCTCCTCCTCCTCCTCCTCCTCCTCCTCCTCCTCCTCCTCCTCCTCCTCCTCCTCCTCCTCCTCCTCCTCCTCCTCCTCCTCCTTCTTCTTCTTCTTCTTCTTCTTCTTCTTCTTCTTCTTCTTCTTCTCTTTCCCTCTGAAAATAAAAGTGACCATGAATTCATATGGTATTTGTGAGCATATTTTAAGGTAGTTTAGGGTATTTTATAGTGGTAAGCTGTTGTGGCGCTTTATTTTTTTTTACTACTGTTTAGGTTTCTTCTTCTTCTTCTCTACTGCAAATTGGGTTTGTTAGATTTATTATTATTTTGACAAAATTGATGATTGAGTTTGTTCTTGATGATATTTGGAGGTTTATGTTTCAAATTTGAGCTCATTTGGAGTAGATTTAAGTGTTAAAACGTGCATTGGATTGTTGAAATTCGAAAAAATATATTTTTGTTTATGGTAATTTGCACTTCATACCCACGTAGCCTTAAGTGCATGAAAATATTGGTTGTACTTCATACCTAGTTGGCCTTAAGTGCATCTGAAGTGTAATTTTATCGCTTCAGACCTATTTGGTCTTAAGTGTATGAAAACATTGATTGCACTTCAGACCTATTTGACCTTAAGTTCTTCTGCGGTGTAATTTTTTCACTTAAGAAATCCCAACTGTAAATTATTCAAAGGGTCTTGTAATGAATCTTTTATTGATTTCAAGCAATAAAAATCAGTTTTTTCAAGCACTGCGGACATAAATTCTGCCATTGTTTTAAAAGGAATTTTCGGGGCGAGTTCCGGGGCGAGGCGCACCAAAAACGCCTCAAGGCGATAGTGTGGGACGAAAGTCTGAAGAGACGTATGCCTAGCAATTCGGGACTTATGCCCAGGTGTTCGGGGCATACACCCGAGCATTTGAGGCGCGTTTCTTTATTGAGGCGTAAGCCCTAGAGACGTTTTCAAATTAAAACAAAATTTGTTGAATAAGTCTTTTATATAATACCCAAATTTTTAAAAGTCAGCTTGGTAATTACTCAATTTTTTTAAAAAGGAACTGAAATGTATTAAATTTAAAAGTCAAGACCTTTTTTTATTGATTGAAGCCTTAATTCATGGTCTTTCCCAATTCTTTATCTTGTCCGCTAGTCTGCTAATATCTCCTCAAAACAATGAATATTCACCTTTTTTTTACAAATACAAAGAGAACTCCATTCTCCTTCGTAGCAACAAGTTCAAAATTCAAATTGCAGGATAGTCATTATTTTTATTCCTCAATGTAGAAAACGTTATTCTTTTAGACTCAAGTCTATATATATATATATATATTAACTTATATA